CATCGGGCTCCCTGCTCAGGGGAGAGTCTGCTTCTCCCTCTCCCATTCCCCCTGCTTGTGTTCCCTCTCTCGCTGTGTCTCTCTGTCAAATAAATAAATAAAATCTTAAAAAAAAAAAAAGATGGGAATTGCAGCATTTAGGATTATAGTGTAGAATTTCTTCAAGCCATAATGAGGTAGGTGAGCCCCCAGTCCAAATAAGCAGCCAGCGTCAAGCAGGTCCATGGCAACAGGTGACACTGATGTAGCCATTGGGAGTCTGTATCCCCAATGCAAGAGCTCAGTCACATTATCCTCAGGTGCAATGTAGAGATGGAAAACCTACCCAGTGAACCAGAGTACTGATGGTCCTCCCTAAAAATCACAACCACAAACACATTCACTAGAGTTTGACACAGGCAAGCAACTCCGGTCAAGAAGCAGACCTGGAAATTGCCTTCAAGCATGTGGTCCTGTGCTCACATTGTGCTAGGAATGCATTCCCATGCTGCAAGCTGTTAATTAATCAAAGTGTGTAGCTTCTGAAATATGCAGATAAATTAGGAAGGAAAATTGAATCTTTGTTATGTGATTTTTCTTAATGATTAGAGTGTGTTCTAAATAAACAGAAAAACAAATTGATTACCAAAAACTATGTTAATGTGCTTTTAATTCACAAGGGTTAAGCATATAAAAGTCAGGATATTGAAAATTAAGGTTCTCATAGAAACATTAATTTGACAACATTATGCATACTAGGTGTGGGAGGTTTATATTTTATAACATGAAAGCAGTAAGAAATATTGCAAAATGTGGCTCAGCTAAACAAATGAAATAACAAATTTAGGGGAAAGTCATTAAGTGTGATCATGGAAAAAATTGTTTTGCAACCTCCAAAGAAGGGTTATAAAATTTAATTTTAGGAAATAATGCCTTCAAATCTTTTCAAAAAATGTTTTCAATGGAGATTATTCATTTTTAGAAAAAAATCAATTTCCCTAACACATTGTATGTTCTGACATGAGTTTATGCCTTTCATTTGCAGCTCAGATTTGATTCTAATAGACCAAAAGAAGAGCTGACTGGCTATTTTCATGGCCTTGTTCATAAAGATTTCATAGACTGAAAATTAAATGTAAGGGTTTAAAATTTTTTTTAGTATACAGAGAATATGGAGGAAATTTTAAATATGAAGAAGCCTGCCAGTGTACTAATACTTGCTTCTATATTTGACCTCTGTGTATTTCTGTAAACTATTTGCATATATGGATTATGGAAATTGCAACCTGATCATACAAAATGTTTTATTTAGGTAGCACAGAAAAAAGAAAAGAACTTAAGGCATGTTCAGAGAAGGAAGTGCACCAGAAAACAAACCTACAGCCTTTACTATGTCTCTGTTTTCATTCCTGCCTCATGCACTGGACAGCAGGTCTGGAAGCTTGAGTTCTCCAGTACGGCTGCACTGAGCCATAGGTGGATGTTTCCGTCACTTGACCCCAGAAGCTGCATTCATTCTATAGGAAACAGGGGTGGTGGACCCATGAAGCGACTCCTTGGAGCATGTCACTTCCCAATTCAGTCAGAACTAAAGGCAAGAAGGAAGGAAGGAAGGAAGGAAGGAAGGAAGGAAGGAAGGAAGGAGAGAAGGAAGGAAGGAAGGATGGAAGGATGAAAGGGAGGGAGGGAGAGAGGGAGGGAGGAAAGAAGGAAAGCAGGCAGACAGGCAAGCCAGAAGGAAGGAAGGAAACTATTACTAGCATTATAATACTACCTCAATTATCAGCAATTCCAGCTATGTAATTAATTTTAATAAAGATTTTGTGTTCCTTTAAATCAAATATAAGTTATTTTTTGGTGCAAATTAACAAATGAAAACCAAAAGTACCTTCACAAAGGAGCAGATTATAAAAATATAAAGATAAATAGACATGCTGCTAACATTTCTATTTTCCATTGTATTTTATGCCATAGCAAGGCAATCTACAGTACAATAAAGGTTCATTCATAGAAGTGAGATATGTAAATTCCTGAGCTAGCAGACTCCTGGCCCAGTATTCAAAACGCCCCTTCAAAAAAGGCACAACGGTCTGCATTTTTCACTAGAAAAAATCTATGCAACCACATTCCATGGCAATGAACTCTTTATAAGCTTAATGAAGAAAAATGCTTTGTATACTTACTTTAATCTTTACCCCCTGTTATTTTCTGTTTCCAAACAAACAGAAGGACAAATGCAAACTGCCAACTCGCAGGATGTACAAACAAGTGTTATTGAATATTCAGAAGTATGGTGGTATTTCTAAAGTTCAACAACAAATCATTTAGAGTCTTTCTTTTGTTTTTAAATTTTCCTTATTCAGGCACCACAAGGCCACATAAGGAGGGTGAGGTCCCTGGAGTGGACTATATTTTCATCACTGTTGAAGATTTTATGGAATTGGAGAAAAGTGGTGCTCTCCTAGAAAGTGGGACTTATGAAGGTAAGCACAGCTCTACTGCTAAATGTATTCATTGTTGCATCACATTTTTCTCCTTTGATTGAGATGCATTAGGACACCAGATTACCAACATGTTACTCTGTTTGGGTTGAGAGCTTTAATGAGGTCATTTCAGAAACATTTGCTTAAAAAAAAAAAAAGTTAAGCTACATCTGGATTAACTCTACTCTTCAGATGCCAAGAGATATGTATATATCCCCTGAAGTAGGCTTGGGATGGCATCCTGAGGCTAAACTCTGTGTGCTCTTCCAAATAAATTATCTTCATCTCTGGAGTATCTCAGGGCTTGAGTTCCAGTTCTCTCATTATCTCTGTGTAGTTTTCTTCAGTTTCTTCACTGGCCTTCACTTGCCTCCCATGCAAAATGATGAAGTAGGAAAATATGATCTCTGCATGCTCTCCAAACCTCTGGTCTAATAGCAAGTCTCCTTGTGTACCCGAATCAAAAATGAACAGTAAATGACACTGAAAGCTTGAATGCGGGAAGTACGTTTCAGTGGAAAGAGCACTGTAACATGAGCCAGAATCTGTCTCAGTTCCAAATCTGGCTTTATTACTTAACCACTGTAAATACTAAATAACCCAGTTAGTGTCTGTGAACCTCAGTAGAATTAGCTGTAAATGGGGAATGGTAGCATTGAAAAATATAAATAACATGTTGCTATGATCACATTTCTACCTTTAAGTGACATCTACATGCATATAGTTTATGTCTAATGAAATTATGTATCTGTGTATACATAAAGAAACTTTAAAATGATATGACTAAAAAAACAGTAGAGAACACTATTTTTATTCATATTTCACAGTTATTGTATGTCTGAACTATATTTATATATTTGTTATTAACTTGAAAGATGAATCTAGTTTTACTGTACTATAATTAATAATGAGTGATACTAAAAACAAAACTAATAATATATACATTGCTGCTTAGTGCATAAAATACCTGAGGTCTACCATCAGCAAATAAGTTGGGTTTGGTATCAGTTTGGCCGTCCACTTCCCCCTTCATTTACTTGTGGATGCCCAGTGGACTATAGTTATTTAAGAACTTAATATTTTAAAGTTGTTAGAAGTATTAAAATCTCTTCTTTTACTTTTCACACTCCTAAGGTAATTTAGGCTGAGACATATGCCTATTTTATGGCTAAGACATTTACTTGCTTATTGCCACATTTACAAGAAATTAGCAAAAATACCCAGGAAAAGAAAATGGCTTTACACATGAGTATTGTTTCTTATTCATATTGTCAAAAATGAATAATAGTGGAAGTTGATTGAAAATATTTTAAATACAGGAGCACCTGAGTGGCTCAGTTTGTTAATGTCCGATTCTTGATCTTAGCTCAGGTCACGATCGCAGGGTCATGAGATTGAGCCCTTTGTGGGGCTCCGTGCTCAGTGGGGAGTCTGCTTGAGATTCTCTCTCTCCCTCTTTCTCCCCTTCTGCTCCCTCTGCTCATGCTCTCTCTCTCTAAAATAAACAAATCTAAAAAAAAGAGAAAATATTTTAAATACAAAAGCTGTGTTGGTCATATAACCTGGCTTACACTATATGAAAAATAACTATATAAATCATAGAAAATACTCATATCAAAGAAGTCAGAGTAAATGAACAATAAATTTTGTAGTATATTTTCCAGCAGGCTTTGTGAAATTATTTAGTGGCATTCATTCGTTTGCATGTCTGCCAATAATAATGCATTGTATTTAATTACCTTATTAAATATTATATTTATGTCACAAAGAACCAGTGGCTTAACATAAGGAGCATTCCAAGAGTAGTATGATTAACAATATGACTTTTTCTTTTTGTTTGTAAAAATAAAGACTGTGTTAACTGTATAGAAGGTGAAAAAATTAAACCAAGTGTTCATGTTAAATCTCCACTGTTCTCATGATAAACTAGATGCCATGAAATTTAATAGCAATATTTAAAAAATAAAGTCTTACTTAAATTTTAGGTTCCAGTTAAATTTTGAGGGAACTATCTCGAAACTGTATAAATGTAGCCAAGTTTTGTGAGCCAGAGTGGGTTGTCCTGAATCTTCTTTAGACATCTTTTCAGTATTGGGAGTTTAGTTTCCTAAAGTTTGGTGCCAGCTTGTTAATTGCCTCCACGTCCATAGAACTGATCATTGACTAATAAGGCTGATTTATATATATGACTTTGGGGAATCAATACCATTGTTTGCAAATACACATGGTGTACTTGGATGAATAAGATACTCCTTTTTCAGGTCACATAACCATCTAGGCAGACATCTAGGGAGCATTCTCAAATCTTGGGATCTTTGGATTTTTCTACAATTACAGCTGAGGAACCAGTAGAATTGACATTCTAATGAAAATCACTATTATTCCTTCAGATTGATCATAAGCTCTAGGCTCAGGGTTACCACTTAGTGTGTTATTTGTCAAGGAAACCTGAGGAATGCCTTTTCTGCAGTTGATACTTTCAGAATATATAGAATAACAATCATGTGCTGCTCACCTAGACAAAGAAAGACCTGAGAGCTTTTATATTTGTCAAACTTTCATGATATCAATCTCTCATAAGATTTCTTCAGTAAAGTCCTAGTTTTTCTGTTATATATTCCTCCTTTTGCAGTGTTTGGGCCATTGCTCCGTCCCTTCCTCCTTGCTAGAACATTCGCATGCCTTCTCAGTACTCTACAGCCCTCAGCCAGACTAAAAAATTCATTTTTGATATCTGGAAGTCCACTAAAGAAAATAAGAAATTGAGTTACTCTCAGTGTTAAGGTTATAGACCTGTTAACTATGTTGGGCCCTTAAGACTGATTCCAACCCACACACCAGAACATCAAGACTTACTGATGCAATTGGAGGTAGGGAGACAGCCCCTGCTTCTTCTTTCTCATAAATACTTAGCAACCTAACTTGTGCATTTCTTGTCAGGAACTGGGAACCCATTCATTTTTTTTTTTAATTAGCAAAGATCAAGGAAGTCCTCTGTAAAATATCTAGTTAAGATGCCCATCATTGAGAAAACCAGTCTTATAGTATTCATCCCCACCAATCAGTTTCAGAATAGGAGGCACCTACCTGAAAAGTAGTTAAGAGGAAGAATATATTCTTTTAAGTATTTCTCATATGTATGCATTTTAGTCTTACTGTCAATAATTCTAAGTTTAATCTTGGTGAATAGATGTAAATAAAATGCAGTTTGTCCTTTGACTAGAAACAAAATGGACTGTCCTGAATTGCAGATCTACCTTTTAGAAATTGGCTCAAATTACTTGCTCCAAAAGAGCAATTCTTTTACTTACCTGAGGCTGCAAGGAAGGCCTTAGTGTGCTTGAGTTACTATCTACAGTTATGCCACATGATCCTAGGCAGAGTTTTAGCAGATTCTTAAAGTCTCTTCTCTGCAGCACCAACTCCTTGCTCAGTCTAACACCTCATTTCAGTCTGCTATACAACAACTGCTGAGTGCCCTTGCATGCATATGGCCCAACGGACTTGGTTCTGATGGATCTTGGTAAACAACCTCTTTTTCATGACTTGGATGATCCCATCCTTACCTTTTCATATTGAGTCAAGTTTAAAATTAAGTTAATAGAACAAAGCCCAGTGGTGAGCCTGACATAAAATCAAGTAACAGTATGAACCTTTATGTCAGGACTGAAGGTGTAGGCTTCATTTGAAACACAGACCACAGAGCTCTGTTAAATGCAGATAATTCCTTTAGGATTAAGATCACATGCAGGTATGAATGAGACACCAAGAGGTCTAAATAAGTGAGTTGATCTGGTAATCTAAAGGATAAGTACTCTAAGTGCCTGGAAGGAAGCCTTGTCTTTGGGAACTGTCCAAAGTGCTGAATTACCCATGGCTCTAAATCCGTGAATCCTGCCTGACCTACCTCTTCCATTTGTCTGGAATGTTGCATTCATGGTTTCACTGACCACTCGCACCAGTTATTTGCCTCAACCTTTGTTCTGAATGTCATTATTAACTAACCCCTTGTCTCCTGAGCTGTGCCTGGAATCTCATTTCATTAACTCATATACTGAGATCATCCACAGTCATGTTCCAGAGCAGCACTTCTGTCATATCATCCACTACAGTATTTTGCTGTTTTGCTTTTAAATGGAAACAAAGCTATTTTTCTATCTATTGAAGAAGCCACTGATCCCAAACTTCAGTGTTTCCTTTAGATAGACATAAGCTTATTGTAATATTGCCCCAATTTTTAAGAAGACTAAATCAAGACCAGCAAATTATTTGGGCACCTTACAGAATATAGTACCAATATGGCACTCACCTTCACCTCAATTCTGTGATTTCTCCTAATCATGGACCTAACATATATGGCTTGAGCCTACTGCAAACAGCACACCTACCTTCTTAAACAATTTTATTACAGGGACTATGAAATTCAATATGTTCTCTTCTATACATAAAAGTATGGTCCTTCCTGGTGTAGCATATAAAATCCTGTAAAAAAAAATTATTAGGGGCACCAGGGTGGCTCAGTCAGTTAAGCATCTGCCGTTGCCTCAGGTCATGATCCTGGGGTCCTGGGATCAAGCCCTGCATCGGGCTCCCTGCTCAGGGGAGAGTCTGTTTCTTCCTCTCCCTCTGCCCCTCCCCCCTGCTCATGCTCTTGCTGGCACGTTCTCTCTCTCTCTCTCAAATGAGCAAAAAAAAATCTTTAAAAAATCATTAAGTACAAATAATTTTCTATGAAACTAACTTAAGCAGATCATGATGAGAGAAGAGATACAACAAATTTTACATAAATCCATTTCATTTTACTAAAATCAGCATCAACTTTTTAAAAAATCATAGCCTTGATACATTTATTATTGAAATGTGAATTTCTATTTTCAATCAAGATAGCATTGGGTGACAAAGGGATACTGAAGCCAAAGAAAAATCATTACTGGCACTATAAATAGTGTTGAGAAAAAACGTTCTTCTATCAGTCCAAGTTTCTACCCACTGAAATGTAA